GATTGTGTGGTGTGAGCTACTTATAAGTAGTATATGACGCGAGTGTCAACGTAATGTCTGGTAGCAGAAGATAGGGGAAGATCAAGAAAGGAAGAGTTAGAAGAACACAATGGAATTTGTATGAAACGCATGAATCGTGACAATGGATTGATGTTTGGCAACAGGAACAGTCCAGTTCCATAGGATGAACTGATCCTTTGCAAATGAACGATTTACGATATGGTTTTCCTATTTTACTGAGTAACTCTGTAATTTTCGTTAAATACAATTCGTTTGCCCCACCTGTGTTCTCATTCACTACAATTGAATATTTAGTTCAAGAAAAAACCCAAATATTTACGTTTAATAATACAAGACATATTTACCTTTAAATGACCATCCATTTGAGCAGCACCACCATCTGCAATACGTAATACAACTAATGGCATACGATTAAATTCTTGTCCACCACGAATAGAGAAACCGAAGCCTCTACTACCACGAAACAATGTCACTGGAAATTCAATGGAATCTCTCATTGGTAAAGGATGTTTACGTCCACGTGAAGCTGAGCCTATATGTTGTGTACAATGGAGAAGAATAATGTGAAAATATTGAATTTGAGGCAATTTTATATAATTCAAAGTGAAAATACAGTCTCCGATCATCCTATAATACGAGCGCATATTTGTCTGCGGCTTACTGGATGTAAGAAAGACAAAGCAAAGAAACCCCTCACAGTTCTGCTTAACGATAACAAAGCCAAGAGTATATTTCGACAGGAACTAGAAAAAGTTAGACAACCATGTAAATGATGCCAACCACGAGGCAGCTTGGAATGATATCCAGAAAGCATCAGCGATATCTGCCATTAGGGTGAACCCAGGACCTTCAGTCTCGCACGCGAACGCTTAACGCTGGGCCACTGAGCCGATATTCAACCGTGTTAATGTCTAACTTTAATCGATCTAAGATATTGATAAACCGTACTCATTGCCTTTGGTAGGTAACTGCTTACACTCGACAGGGTTGAACTCTACAGTGGTCTTGGCTTTTCACGAAGCTAAACACTAGTAAGCACACTGTATTCATTATATAGTGCATTTTTACCCGTTAAGGTTGTTGAGACACGTCTTACGTCAATCCAAACACTGGCTGTCTCGATGAGCGATGTTTTGTGATGTGGGAGTAGGCTGGAAGAAAGCTAGGGGCGGCCAAACCAAAACATGGCACAAATCCATGAAGTCACTGACAACTGGACTGATCCATGTTAGTAGGTGTAGACTACCCGGATGCCGTCTGAGAGACAATCGTAACCGATGATTAGAGACATTGAATGACATGGCTAAAAATCGTTTGCAATGGTGCAAATGAATCCACTCTTTAGCTTCTCTCATGACCTCATGAGCTCATCACCTTTATCTTCCACTTTTTTAATTTTAATTCATTGGATTATACTTGTTGAATAATATCTTCGAACTTTAATCTTTTTCACATTTTTGAAACCATGAACCGACCAATGTTAGACCAACATTAGAAACCCGGAAGTACTAGACGGCCGTTTCGTCCTGGTATGGGACTCCCCAGCATCCACGACTCCTGCACCCCGCAGGATTCGAACCCAGGACCTTCGGTATTGTGCGCGAACGCCCTAACCGTTAAACCACTGAGACGGCTTCTGACGGTGTTAATGTCTAACTTGATCAAATTCACGGAGTTGCGCAACCTCATACACAGTCTTCGGTAGACACTGTCTACACCCGAACAGGTTGAACTTCACTAGTCACGTCTTCCTACTAGAACTCGGAGATTCCTCACGAAGCTAGTCATACCAGGACGAAACGGCCGTCTAGTGCTTCCAGGTTTCTAATGGTGGTCTAACATTGATCGATTCATGGTTTCAAAAATGTGTAACTTACCAATCTTCACAACCCCGTAATCTAATCTTTTTGTATCTCCGCAAATACTTCTACTACCTCTACTACTATGGGATTGATCTGATCTTGATTTGATCTCTGTCTGTACTAATGTAGTATGGCAACTTGAACTGATGTACGTACCTACTAAGTTGTACGTCGCATCTAACTGAGAGGTATATACAAACAAGCATATTGAACAAAATACAAAGTTGACAAAAGCATTTAAGAGGAAAATAAACAAATGATCAGAAAAGACAGTCAGTCAGTAAATCAGATGCAACGTAGAACTTCCAAAGTAAGAACATCAGTTCATGTTGTCATACCACATTAGCACAGAGATATAATTGTCAATTCAAATGCAATAGTAGAAGAGGTAGTAAAGGTATTAGAAGTAATCGGAGAGGTTAGGATTAGAAGATATTATTCAAGAAGTATGATTCAGTGAGAAATGTTTAGAAAGTCAAAACTAGAGGTGTTGAAGAATCCAGAAGATCAAGATTTGAGAGAACACAAAGAATAAATGCACCGGTGCCATTGCAAACGGTTTTAAGCCATGTCATTCAGGATCTCTAACCATCAATTATTATCATCTCGCGGACCCCAACCAGGTAGTCGACACCTACTGACATGACTCAGTCCACTCGTCAATGACTTCATGGATTTGTGCCATGTTTCGATCTGACCGCCCCTAACTTTCTTCCTACATCACAAAACATCGTTTATCAAGATAGTCGGTGGTTGGGTTTACGTAGACAGACAAAAAAAATTCGTAAACACTTACCTGAATATGGTAAAATTTTCAAAGCTATATGATTACCACTTTCTCGAATTAAACGAACCACTTCATCATGATGTAATCCACAAGTTGGAATTCCATTTACAGCTAAGATTTGATCACCAACAGACAGTAGACCCATACGTTCAGCTTGACTACCAGGAACAAGTTGAGCTATATAGACCAATACATGTAGAACAGGGAAAAATCAAGAAATCATTCAATTTCAAGTTGGACGCAATTTTCTTTCTTCATTTACAGTTATATCAATATAAATTCACTTTCAATTAGGCGAGGGTAATGTTACAATGATTATCAGGAGAATCAGACGCTGTCCATGTGGTAACACTACAATGTGAACAGTACAGCTCGATCCTGTGGCGCAACCATGCAGGTGGTACCTGACATCCTAGCGGACCATTCACATCTTTTATTTATACACCATATATACATATAGTGATTATTTCCGATCTATATGATCGCATCAATCAATCTGCACAGCATGAACAGTCCGCTTTTGACCCATCCCACATACAGGACTGTCAAACTCATTATTATTAACAATGGTGATATGAAATACAGCAACCCCGATGACAATGGCCTTCCAGAATGTTGCAAGACAACAACCACCAGTAATCAACGAAATTGGTCATCCTGCAAACTAAATTTGGATATGGACAATTAGCAAAACTTGTCAACCTAATGTCAAACCATTATTCACAATGTTCACAACGAACATCTGGTCTCATAGGTGAAAAACTTTAGCTCTAAATATAAGCAGTATAGCTTATTTGGCTATAACATATATTGTACCTGTTGGGGATGTTAGATCCCCAAAATTCGCTTGGTAAATGCCTTATTTTGGTTTTCACGTTTTGCCAGCATGGGCTGATCAGTCGACCTTGAGATTTCATTTCCCACCAGGAAAATCCTCGGCTTCGATTGGCTGCTGTGTATTTTAGTGTGCTATTTTCTTAACTGTCTCAAGGACGTTTCTGTGTTGTATAAATAAACGAGGGTTGTATGCTTGATTGCACTGTGATTTCTGGGTGTTTGTAGAATATACTTTCTACGCTTACAAAGCCTTTTCACTTCAGCCTCGGATTCAAGGTAGCCTCCCTGGACGCTGGTTCATTGTCTCGTTCGCGTTTATCGACTACGGTAAACTCGTAATAGCCTCAAGCATACTAAGTGATGAACTTATCAGGACCAGTGTCATGTTTATCCATGATTCAGAATGAGACTCTCGGTTATATAGATAAATTTTTTTTATAAGTAGTACGTTAAGTATTAAACTTTGCATCAGATCAATTCTTTAGAAATTTTTGAAAAAAAAGTCATAAACACACACAAAACACAAGACCAATATCAGTAATGCATTCGTAATTCAGAAAAGAAACGACGTATTATTGTGGTGTGACGATTTAATGCGTGTTCTTAAGCTCGGTAATTAACTCGTCCAGACGATCGTCACTAAGTAACATCTGACGGTTTATAAATCAGAAGATGAATTCGTAGTAATGAATACGTTTATTCGGGACACACCACAAAGCGAAGCGGATAAGCAGTGAATAAAACGAATGAAGCGATGTGAACTGGAGAAGGCTTTTGAGCCAACTCTTTGGATTACAATGCGAGCGAATTGGAGAAGGCAAAGAGCCAACTCAAAGAGATAGAACATGACTAAGAATATATAGTCAGATAAAAATAAGACAGAAATATGACAAGCGAAATAGGCGTGCACACACATGAATAAAAGCGACGAATGGTTGACAAGGTCAAAAGCAAGCGATACAAATCATGTGAGTCCATGGGAATATTACGAGATTAACATTAAAGTGAAAAGGATGTGTAAGCGCGTAGGCTTAAGCAATGCTCAGTCGTACAAGCTCATACAAACCAGATAATAAAAAATATCAATGGTACATATGAGTTGTTGCTATATAAATGGCTTGGTTAAATAAATTAATCGAAAGGGCTTAACCAAGCTAGATGTAAGCGAACTGGAATATATGTGGAGGCACTATATTATAATAGTTCGGATCCGTTGACCAGACACTATCAACAACAGGCTACTGTGGGAAAGAACAAACCAGATTCCGGTAAAGGAAGAAGCGCCGAGAGTGAATAGAACACAGATTGAGAAAATCACCCAACTGCATCACAAGACAAGCCTTCATTTGGAACCCTCTCAAGGCCAAAAGAACACAGTACGCCGAGAAGTGGAAGCAGAAATAAGAAGAATGAACAATAAGTGAACAGAACTAGAGAGGAGGGCCTAGGACAGAGTAGGAGGTTATAGGATACTGATTGGTGGTCTATGGCTTCACTAGGAGTAACAGGCGTAAGTAAATAAGTAATAATAATAATAATAATAACAATAATAAAGATTTTTCACTATTCATCATAAACATAAAACACATACCAATGTATTCTGTATTCTGAGTATTACTATTATTGTTAGTACAATTAACATTTCCACCACCACTAGTATGATCATTCATTGAATTATGTATTGGTTTAGTGTTTGTTAAAAAGAAACCAAATCCATCAGTTTTATCATTTCTTGATATAACCACATCAACTGGTTCACAAGTTGAAGAACCATGCGAATGATGATTGTCAAGTTCAGTCTAACAACAACAAAAAAAACAAAAATCAATTCTAATGGTATAATAATTATGTAATAACTATTATCGATCCCGACCGTAGCTGCTAGCTTGACGTGGTGGTGGTCGGGCTTGACTACCGTGATGACCCAACCGAGCTATACTGGCTGGAACTCATGTTCCCGCAGGTTCTACCATGCCAACCAGAGAGGTCGATTGGAGAACGATGATACTAAAAGCAGCTACTCAAGGTCTGAGGGCGAAGTCGTACTGCTGACTGTGATGGAGGGGTGTGACAGCAGTAAGGTGTTTCCAGCATCTTCAGTGATGCTGTCTTCTTACAAGGAAGGAAGAGGTCGGAAAAGGTTGACCCTAAAAATAACACACCTCACCCTACCTCACGGATTTCCGTCTCCGTCGGTAAGGGTGGCCACTAAGGGCTTTTAAGAACGGAGCTAATACTCAAAAAACCTTTCATAAAAAGGCCGTGCGTGACCGGCCTCAAGCAGTTGTCCCTTGGACTCTGCGGTCACGCAACCAGGTCTCCGAGACCAACGCTAATCTATCTTCCCTTTCAGGTCCCTCAAGAAACAACCTTCCACGGTGTGGGCAACCGGGAAGTGACAACCGCCCTCATACCCGTAACAGCACGAGAGACCAAATTGGTCAAAATCAAATCCTTCCTACAAAATCAAATAACTATGAGTGAATTATTAATAATATTTCAATAGTGCGCATCCACAACTTTTGCTACTCTTAGGACTTGTTACCAGGACTTTCGAGCTTGCACGCTAACGCTTAACCTCTGGACCATTACTACTACTGTAGTGAATGAGAACACAGGTGGGGGCAACCGAATTGTATTTAACGAAAATTACAGAGTTACTCAGTAAAATCGGAAAACCATATCGTAAATCGTTCATTTGCAAAGGATCAGTTCATCCTATGGAACTGGACTGTTCCTGTTGCCAAACATCAATCCATTGTCACTCTTCATGCGTTTCATACAAATTCCATTGTTTTCTGACTCTTCCTTTCTTGATCTTCCCCCCATATTATGCTACCAGACATTACGTTGACACTCACGCTATATACTACTTATAAGTAGTTCGCTCCACAGCACCACACTCGTCCCCCCTTTTAATAAGCTGTCGTCGTGGTCCTTCAAAACAGAGTCCCTGGTCAGTTAATGTCACCTTCCGTATTCCGTGACACGCTACAATATGCCGGATTACCACTTCGGTCATCGTTCTTGATCACAGGTCTGGACTGGATACGGCATCTATCCAACGTGTAGCGTTTACAAGTTCCCGATGCTGGAACACGGCGGCAGGCACACACTCGATAAATTGCGACGCCAAAGACTGTGCCCCGCCAAATCCTCACGGCGCAATCCGGTGAGCTCCACAGCAAGCACCAACAGGTCACCATCGGCCGACAGCCGCACCAACCGGAACCTCTGCGGCGCCTCCTCCCTGTCCGCTGGGCTGTCGAACTCCATTATCAGCCGCCCGGTGACCGTCTCCCACGCCGTCGCCTCGGTGGCACCGTCCAGGCTGTCGTGCACCGCCTTCGCCTCACCTCCCCGCAGCGTCCCCAGCACCGTCAACTCCGCCCCAGGCCCCCACCAGCTCCACCGTGGCCCCAGACTCCTCCAGGAAGCTCCGCCAATCTCCGTCCTGCAACTCCTTCGGCCACGGGAGCCCCTTCCTTCGAGCAGGCAGCGACACCAAATGTAGTGAATGAGAACACAGGTGGGGGCAACCGAATTGTATTTAACGAAAATTACAGAGTTACTCAGTAAAATCGGAAAACCATATCGTAAATCGTTCATTTGCAAAGGATCAGTTCATCCTATGGAACTGGACTGTTCCTGTTGCCAAACATCAATCCATTGTCACTCTTCATGCGTTTCATACAAATTCCATTGTTTTCTGACTCTTCCTTTCTTGATCTTCCCCCCCATATTATGCTACCAGACTTTACGTTGACACTCACGCTATATACTACTTATAAGTAGTTCGCGCCACAGCACCACACTACTACAACTAGGCCGGCATCTAATGGTGATAATCAATCCACGGTGTTTTGCACAACCTCATCATCTACC